CCTTTAAAGAAAGCATATTGTATATGCTGCTCCAGAAAGTATATACAGTAAAGTCCCCTAAATACATTACTGAAATGACCTACGGCCACATCATACAGTACATTTTGTGGTAGGGAAAGAGGAGGACTCTAACTTTTCAAGAACTTTTAGTTATACTACGAGGCCAACACTAATAGAGTCCTGAGATGTCCTCAGTCCCTGAGGCCTCAGTTAGAGGAGAGTCTTTGAAGGTCAGATGAGTCCTGACCAAACTGAGTCCATAGACTAAACCTGTCATTTCCCAATTGTTGAGTGTAGAAATGGGATTTATATACTTAGCAGCTAACAAACACTCACATGATCCCCTGAAATATGCAATTGGAACATTATGAAAGGCCAAAGATAAGGTTTTGAAACCCAGCTAAGATACTAAATCAGAAGCAATATCACACTCTGTGAGAATAGATGCTTTATGCTTCAATCAAGACCTAAAAGACATGGGTATTGTGGTCTTTGTCATTTTGCTACCCAGTTAACATCATTATAGATGATGGTAGGTTACCATTAAATTACCAAATGAAAGCCACAATTATATGTCTGTATCAGATGTGGTATGTTTACAAGAACTGATAAAATCACTTGATCCAGTGGTGACATTTGGTATGTAGATGTTAATCTGGTAAGTATGTTCTTTTAAATCCCAATAAATAATGAAAATCAAAGTCATGCACATTTGTTTGGAAAGGACAGCAGTAAACATTCACTGTCTCATCCCAGGCCTTTATTATTTCTCCTGTTCTCTGTCAAAATCTAGTACAAAGACACATGAATCATCTTGGCATTCTACGGAACATTTTGTTGTTCTCCTATATTGATGACTAATGAACAGGAAGTAGTAAGTAGTTGTATTGCCACAGCAAGACAATCTATTCAGTGAGTCATAGATAAACTACAGATATTTGGGACCTCTCACATATTTTGAAGATTTTTAGGGCAGCAATGGTCTGGAAATGTTGGGACATGTCCTTGTGTACTCTAAGATGAAGGACAAATCATTGTATCTTGCAACTTTGCTGCTAATTAAATGTCACAACATTTGGTGGTGGCTACAACCATTGTTCTCAGTTCCTTGCACAGAATACCCTATTACTTTCCATTCCTGTATACTTATAGGCCAACTTCCTATTGCCAACACTACACTTTTTGCTTGAGGGATCTCTTTCCGGAGGCCAGCTTACAGAGAAGGCCAGAAGTGCCAGGTAATTAACATTTCCCAAGATTAACCTTCAACTAGTGACTAATAGATTTAGGGGATACTCCCGTAGCTCTTAACTGGAATAAATTCTAAGCTCCGCATTTCCCCAAATCTACAAGACTTCTCTAATGAGATTATTTCAGTTGCCTGCAGTGGTAACTTTCTTGAGAATTTAATCTTCATGGGATGCAACTCACAGAATGCAAACACCTATATTAAAAATGAGGAAGATCTTAAATCAATAGCCTAACCATCCACCTTAAGAAACTAGAAAAAGAGTGCCAACTAAAGTCCTAAGCAAGCAAAATAAAGGAAGTAATAAATGTTAGATAGAAATAAATGAATGAGGGAATATAAAAACAATATATAAAATCAACAAAACATAAACTTTCTTCTTGGAAAAGATTAATAAAATTGACAAAACTTTAGAAAAAAAAAAGAAATTACTGAAACATGGCATAAAGAGGAAACTTGCTACCAACCTTAGAAAACTAAGAAGGATTTTAAGAGAATACTATGAACAAATGTGTACCAACAAATTAGAGAACTTAAATGATATCTACAGCTTCTTAGGAGGACTACTTCAATTAAAAAAAATAGGCTGAACAGACCTATAAGAAATAAAAACATTGGATTAGTAATTTTAAAACTTCCCACAAAGAAAAGCCCAGATCCACAGGGCTTCCCTGTTGAACTCTACCAAGTACTTAGAAGAGAATTAATACCAATCCTTCAAAATATTCCAAAAAATGTGGGAGAGAACATTTCCCATCTTATTGCATGAGGTCAGCATTATCATGACACCAAAACTAGACAATTAAGAAACTTATTATTATAGATATAAAAATCCTCAATGAAATACTAGTATACTGATACCAAAACACATAAAAAGAGATAATACAACATGACCAAATGAGATCTATTCTGGGAATACAAGGCTGTTTAATGTCTGAAAAAAAAATCAAGTTCTGTGATGCCCAATGTTAATAGGATAAAAAACAAAACCAGGTCTGGGAGCATAGCTCAGTGGTGTAGTACATGCTTAGCATATGTGAAGTCCTGGGTTCAATCCCCAGCACCAAAATAATTTTTAAAATAAGAAAATTACCCTCATTACCCTCTTCCTAACCATCATCTCAATAACAGCAGAAAATGCATTTGACAAAAATCTTATCACCCTTTCATAATAAACATACTCAACAAACTTGGCAGAGAAGGGAATTCTCTTAAACTGATGAAGAGTATCTATGAAAAAACTACAGTTACCAGCACACTTACTGTGAATGATTGAATGCTTTTCTCTTTAAGATCATGAACAAGACAGCAATGTTTACTTCTATCACTTCTATTCATCAACTACTGGAGGGTTTAGCCAGGGCAATTAGGCAAGAAAAAGTAATAAAATGTGTTCAAATTGAAAAAGAAGAAGAAAATTCTATGTAAAGTTCATATGATTTTATATATAGGAAATCAGAGCAAATAAAAAATGATTTAAAGTAGCAAAGTTTAATATTGCATAATATAAAATCAATATATAAAAATCAATTATAATTCTGTTCTCTAGCAATGAAGAATATGAAAATGACATTATTAATTCCATTTACAACAGTATCAAAATATGCTTAGAAATAAATCTAGAAGAAGTACAAGACATGCACACTGAAAACTGAAAAGCTTTATTAAAAAATTAAAAATTAAATGTAGAACACTTCATAGGTCAGAGAACTGATTATGCTAAAATGGCAATATTTCTTAAATGTATCTACATATTTGGGAAAATATGTATTAATATCCCAGTCAGATATTTTGTAAAAATTGTTAAAAATGATTCTAAAATTCAACGGAAATGCAAGAACTCCAGAATAGAAAAAATAATAATTTGGAAAAAGAACAAAATTAGAGGACTCACACTTCAGTTTCAAAACTTGTCATCATAGTGGTTGGGGATGTATCTCAGTGGTAGAGTGTGTATTTAGCATGTGTGGCCCTCAGGTTCAATCCTCAGCATGCACGCATGTGCACACATACACACATACTTATAATAAAGCTACAGTAATAAAGATAGTATGGTTCTATAAGACTAGACATATATATTTATTGGATAGAATAGAAATTCTAGAAATAAACCCTCACATATAAACTAAATAACTTTTTTATCAAGGATCCAAGAACATGTAATGTGGAAAAAAGAATCTCCAAAAAATGGTGTTGGGACAACTGGATATTCAAATGCAAAGGAATAAATTTGAACCCATAGTTCATGCCATACACAATTATGAGCTCCAAATGAATCATAGATATAAATAAATGTAAGGGCTAAAAATGCAAAAGTCTTAGGAGAAAACTTATGAGAAGATCTTCACGACCTTGTAGTAGGCAATGAGTTTTTAGCTACCACACCAAAAGCCCAAGTAATTCTGTTCTTCAAATGTTACCATCAAAACAAATGAAAAGACAATTGTGATGGTTAATTTTTTGTGTTATTCTGCTAGGACATGGTATTCTGTTCAAGCATCAATCTAGATGTCTCTGCAAAAGTATTTTTTAGATGTGATTGATATTTAAATTAATAGACTCTGTATAAAACAGGTTTCCCCCTTTGTTTTGTGGATGGACCTCATCCAATCAATTGAAGAAGATCTTAACAAAATTCACATACAAAGAGAATGAAGGAATTCTGTCTCCAAACAGCCTTCCTACTCAAAACTGTAGCATCAGCTCCTGACAGGATTTTGAGCTTGATAGACAGCTCTACAGATTCCAGACTTGCCTGCCCCAGAATGATGAGAGCCAATTCCTTGGAATCTCTAAATCTGGAATGGTGGCACACTTCTGTGGTCCCAGCTACTCAAAAAGCTGAGGCACGAGGACCATGTGAGCCCAGGTTTCAAAACGAGCCTGGACAACACAGTGAGACCCTGCCTCAAAAAGAACAACAACATTGTTCTCTCTGATCTGTGGATGCTAACAATAAGGGGGTGAGGGTATTGAAAGTTCAATGGAATAGACAAAGGGGAATGAAGAGAAGGGAGTGAGGATAGGAATAGGAAAGATAGTAGAATGAATCAGACATAACTTTCTTATGTTCATATACGAATATACTACAGTGAAACTCATCATATACATCCACAAGTCGGGGATCTTAATTAGAGTAAGTTATACTCCAGGTATGTATAATATGTCAAAATACACTCCACTTTCCTGTATATCTTTAAAAAACCCAATTTTTTTTAAAATAAACATAACAACATCAATAAATTTCTCCATAAATATATTCTTTTCTTCTTTCATTTTGTGGAAGACCCTGACGGATACATCAACCTATGAAATGCAAGAAAGGTATTTTAAAATCATTTATTTAACACGTTTGGCTAGAATGTATTTAAAACTCTTACAATTCAACAATAAAAAGACTACTCTAACTTTTTAAATGAGCAAAGGATTAAATATACATTTCTCCATAGAATATACCTGACTGGTCAGTAAGGACATGAAAAGATGCACATTATTGAAATGCAAATCAGGGCTGGGGTTGTAGCTCAGTGGTAGAGCACTTGCCTTGCATGCGTGAGGTCCTGGGTTCGATCCTCAGCACCACATAAAAATAAATAAATAAATAAAAATAAAGATTGTATCCATCTACAACTAAAAAAAATATTTAAAAAAATAAAAATACAAAGCAAAACAGTCATAAAATACTACTTCACATTCACTAGGATGAGAAAATTCAAGAAGTCAGACTAAAACCAGCCACTATGACAATCACCTGTAGTCCCAGATACCCAAGAGTCTGAGGTGGCAGGATCACTGGAACCCAGGAAGTTGAGGCCAGCCTAGGCAAAACAGCAAGATTCTGTCTCAAAAATAAAAAAAAAAAAAGTTGGACAAAAACAAATCTTGGTAAGATTGTGGGAAATTGTAGAATTCATATCATTGGTAGAAATGTAAAATATTGCAGTCACTTAGGAAAATCATTTGGCAGTTGACTTTTAATGGTAAACATAGATTTATCATGTAACCAAGTAATTCCTTTCCAATGTATATACATACAAGAAGTAAAAACATGGCAGACCAAAACTTTATAAATGAATACTCACAGCAGCATTATTCCTGTTAGTGAATAAATGGAAGCAACCCAAATATCCACCAATAAGTAAATGGATGAACAATATATGCTGTGCCCATGTGATAGAATATTTGACAATAAAAAGAAATGAATTTCCAGTACATGCTACAATCTGGATGAACCTTGAAAACATTGTGCTGGCTGTGGTAGTGCATAACTGTAATTCCAGCTACTCTGAGGCAGAAGAATAACAAGTGCAAGGTCAGCCTTAGCCACTTAGCAAGGCCCTAAGCCACTTGGAGAAACACTGTAATCTAAATAAAATAATAAAAAGGAGCTGGGAATGTAGCTCAGTGAAAGCACTCCTGGGTTCAATCCCAAGTACAAGAAATAAAGAGAGAGGGAGGGAAGAAGGGAGAGGAGGAGGGAGGGAGATGGGGAGGAAGGAAGGAAGAAATGCTAAGTGAAGGAAGGCAGTAGTAAAAGATCAAATAATGCATGATTCTATTTATTTGACAGGGGTAGGGGATATGCCTCAGCACTAGAGTACATGCTTAAGAAGCACAAGGTCCTGACTTCCATTCCCAACACCAAAAAGAAAAAAAATCATTTATATGACATGTTCATAATAGTCATATTAATAGAGACAGAGTTGAAGAGTGGTTGCCAAGGACCAGGATGGACAGCAGAGGGAGAAGTGTGAGGAATGAAGAATGACTGCTAGTAAGCATCAAGTTTCTTTTGGGGATGAGGAGAACGTTCTAAAATTAGATTATAATGACCTCAGGCCATCTTTCTTGCCATCTAACTTCATAAATAGCCCTACTTGTGTTTTTGCTGCAGTTTATTCCCACCCCTACTTCTACTTTGACTTCTCTTGCTTCTACTTTGGCCTCACAAGCCAAGCCCTAAGCACAATAACAAGTTCCCAATATCCTTGAATCAGAAATATTAGCAACTCTAAGAACCACCACTTTGCCAGAGCCCACCAAACCAGTCCCAACTTCTGTGGCCGAACCTGTAGATACAGATATTTGGAACTTAGGGTATGTTTTTTTCACTCTATCGATGGATAGATTCTGTGTGCATCACAGAAATCCTAAACAACCGAGATGTGGCTACAATCTTCCTAAGAGTTAAGGTATAGACCCCTAGGTTTGGGGTTTTTTTGTTGTTGTTGTTGTTGTTGTTGTTGTTTTTGCATCTTAATTACAGGGAACTCTGAGGGTGGGAAACCAGAGGAAGAGCAGGTACTACACTATCCTGGAAAGATGGCTGTCATGACAACAGCCATCTGTGTACTGTGCGTAGTTTTCCAGAAAGCGTGCTTTGAAGCAGTGTGAGCTGGAATTTCTTTTTGAATACCCAAAATGGCACATCCATCCATCATACCTCCTAATAAATGAGCTTACACAATAAGAGACACAGTTCTAGTTTCTAGTTTCAGAAATTTTGTGAAAATTTCTTTCAGCATATAAGGAACAGGGACTTGTTCTCTAACTAGGCCTTGTTCCACATGGTAATATATATATTTTCTGTGTTTCTTAATCTACATCCCCACTTCAAACACGGAGCAAGATAACAGTGGTTGACACTCAAAGTGGAGTGATGTAGGCTAGCAAGAGGATGACTTTTAACCATTTTCTCTTTTTCTGCTAGCCACCCTAATGTTGACTGTAGTATCTGTTAAACAGCTAATGGACAAAAGAGAGGAAGGAACAAGGACATCAACTTGCAAAAACTAAGAGAGAGAGAGAGAGAGAGAGAGAGAGAGAGAAAGGCAATTGATTGAACTTACAAGAGCCAAGGAATGAGTTCTGTGCCACCTCACCGTCTATAGCATTCAACATAGAACACTGATTTCTGGAATCAAAATTAGGAAATTGGTGCTGGCTCTGGTAGGGCTGAGCAATACTAGCAAGACAAGAAGTATCTGGGGACCTGAATAGTTAAGAGAGTTTTGAAAATTAAAAAATAAAAATAAAAAAGTAAATTTCTCCTTTAAAATACAAATCGCTAGCCAGGCATGATGGTGCGCACCTGTAGTATCAGCTTCTCAAAAAACTGAGGCCAGCTTGGGAAACTTACAAAGACCCTGTCTCATAATCAAAAATAAAAGGGCTGGGGATATAATTCAATGGTAGAGGACCCCTGAGTTCAATCCCCAGTACCACAGAAAGGGGAAAAAAATAACTGTCTGAAAAAAAATAGCATGAGGTAAATGCAAAAATTTGAGGGAAGGTAATGTAGAATTATAGAGTTCCACTCTGGCTCTGCTTCTATTTCGGCCCCAGATAACTATCCCTGTATAAATATTAACACCCCATACCAATGAGTTGTTGTCTCTCCCTCTGGAGAGAGCCCACATTTTCCCTTGAATGCATATTCTCCACTTTACCCCAAAGGCATCTATCTTGAGTTTGCTCCAATTCTATCTTGTATATGTATCTACTTTCCTAATAAAAATCTTTCTATGCCTTTGACTGACTTGTGCTGAAATTATTTTCTGTCACATATGACAGAACCCCTCTGATCCAGAGTCAAGCTCCTCCTTCTCTACGGGAACTCCTCCAACCCTTCTTTGGAGACATCTCTTCTCTTGTGACAAACCAGAGGCTTTTAGCAAATATGAAAATTGCCGATCTTGCACCAAAAGGAGATAATACGTCAAATGTCTGGATGGAGATGTAATTCCTCAGAAGTTAGCCGAGAGTAAGGAGAGCAGGCTTTGTGCTTTTTTTTTTTTTTCTTGTTTTATTCTTTTTGTGCTTTTAAAGACCTCTAAATCCTTATAGCACCTGCAGTCCCCAAAACAGAAATACTTGATTAAAAAAAAAAAAAAACAGTTTACATGTCTTTACATGCACAGAGTTTTGGAAACAGATTAAAAACAGAATGTGGGACTGAGGGCATGGCTCACTGGTTGCACACTTGCCTACCATGTGTGAAGCCCCAAGACTGATGCCCACCACTGCAAAAACAAGCAAACCAAACCCCAGAATGTGTTCCAAAATGCTTCAAAACCAATTGATTAGAAGTAGAACACACTTTCCCTCCTAAATCTACAGTTCAAGTTCCCAGAGGTATTCTAAAAATTCTACTTAAATCACAGGCAGTTGAAAATCTGAATCATCCAGATGTTGAATACTAAGTCTCAAGTTTTTGGAGTCGTAAGTCACAGTAACCTTAGAAGGTAGGGATCAGAGGAAGGTCAGCTTTTGAAGTAGTCCATAAATAGAGTTCTTCTTGTGGCAAGATAGATAGACAGACAGATAGATAGATATGATAAATTAGGTAGGCAGATAGGTGGACAAATGTGTGGAGAGGTATAAGTGCTATCCAAATTCCAATCTGACATATACGAGCCTAAATCATCTTTTCCATTTTATTTGTAATTTAAAAAAATTTAATGGCACTTTAAATACAATTTCACCTTCAGTTACTTTTTCTATCTCAATCCTATGTCTTTTCTAAACCTAAAATGTTCCAGTAGCACTTTTCCCTATGGCCCAGAAACCTCATGATAAAAAGCAAGACTAATAATAATAACAAAAAGAAAACACACACACACACACACACACACACATCACCCTGTAAACATAAGAAATCATCAGCCTTAATGTACCTTTTCCTCACAGAGGTTTTTACTGCCATGTCCTTTATCATGTCTCCCTTGAGAAATGGTTCCTGACAACTCAAGACCACTCATTTGAACTTAATAAAGTGCTTAATCCTGGTGTTAGGGTGTACCCCAGGTCTCTGCCACAGAAAACAAACTTACAATTTGATGCTCTTCAACAATAAATCCTCTCAACAAAATTGTGGCGTCACTTTACATTTTAGACTCACATAAGATTCTCTACATAATGCTTTTATAATCATATGGGGCATAAGATTTTGGATTTCTTTTTTCAATGATGGGGACTGAACACAGGGCCTTGTTCATACTAAGCACATGCTATGCCACTGAGCTACACCCCTAGACCCTAGAGTCTGGAATTTGATGCAATATCTAGAAGACCAAAAGAGAAGTTTGTGTTTTGAGTTCTACTTTGTTATTATTCTCTCTCTTTCTTTCTCTGTCTAGGTGTTTTTTGTTTTGTTTTTATCAGAACCCTTGCTCAGTTATGCACATGTCCTAATTTGGATGAGGCCTCAGTCTCTCAAGTCAATGGTATTACAATTGTGTGCCACAGTGCCCAACTTGTTTTCCATTTCAATAAAAGAAAATATTAGTTGTAAATATCTGCTGACTAGCAGAAACAAGTGACTTAATTCTGCATAGCAAGACACAATTCCATAACCAAAGATGATATAAACTATGTACAATCATCTTGCCCACTCATATTGGTAAGAAGAAATTAATATGAACCAAGCAATGAAAGTGTAAATAAAATTTCCAGGACAAGTCTGTGGTTCATGTTCTTAAAAACTTTGTGATATTGGAAAATTTCCACTTTGAATCAAAGTTTTTTCAGGGTGGAGGTTGTCATTTTATTAACTGAGTAACAATTAGGAAATCATTCAAACCTATCTATGTCTCAGTTTTCATTTCTCTGAAAAGAAAAAAAAAAAGAATGGCATTTGTATTTGAGTATCTTAAGATCAACAGAGGAAACACCCCCGGAAACATATCCCCTGAGTTTGTAGTCCATTCTGATACTTAGCGTCAGTAAATGACTTTAGAAAAGTTATTCCAACCCTATGCTTCATTTTTTTTTCATTTTAAAAATGAAAATGATAATATGTTAACATTTAGTGATATTGTAAAGTTTAAATTGATGAATTATATAAAATAACTAGAATAAGACTAGGCATAAAACAATAATTAAATGTTCACTAGGTCTATAGCAATTGCCATCAAAGCAAGACTACTTTATTTTAGAGTAACCAGAGGATAATAAGGTTTTAACTGGTTTTCTTAATTCTTTGTGGTCACACATTTCTAAGAAATTTACAATTATTTCTCTTCTATTTTTGAATATTATTTCTAAGAAAATATTAAATTAAAATGCAATGAGGCTAAGAGAAAAAAAAATGAACTGAGAATCAGATTATGGGGTTCCTTAAAGTTTGTCCATCACCAGCTGATCACTCTTAAGTGATTTGGGCTTTCGGAGTAAACAGATAATTTCTAAGGTCCTTTGGCTCTAATTTTCTCTCCTATGAGACTATTTGATACCATTGTCCTGAAATATTTCAGATGTCATTTTATAATAATCATTTTCCAACATGTATATTTACTTCAGCATGTTAAGCTCTTTTTTCTTTATTTAAACCTTAAGTCTTAAGTTTAAGGTCCACCCAAATTAACACAATCCTATCACTGTTGAACTAGGAATACGACAAAATGCATTTTTTCTGTCATACAGTCCAGTATTGCATAGTATACTCTAAGTGAACATATTTTTAATAAAAATAAACTTGTGATTTACAGCAATTTGGAAAATGAGAACATGAGTTAAGACTTACCTAAAGGAAAGAACTGGGAAGATGAGAAAGAACAAGAATAACTCTTGAAAGAGAATTTTAGTTACACTTTGAACAGTGTAAAACAAAGAGCTGTCTTCACAGGGAGCAAGTCATCCTGAAGGGAAATGCTAAGAGTCAGAAAGAAGACAAATGGCACTGAGCCAACCATTTTTAAATTAGTATTATCTCAAGGAAACAGATGAAAGCTTATAGGGAAGGGGGAAAGATGAGTAAGGAAAGGAAAGGGGAAAAGTAAATATAAAACAGAAAGTTGTCCCTAAAATGAAAACGAAAAAAAAGGGACTTTCTAGAGAAAGTACAGTAACATGCAGGGGTAGAGGGAAAGACATGAAAGAAGGCTGCATACATAGTAAAGACGTCAAAAGTAAATTGATGGGCTGTGGGTGCTGCTCAGTGGCAAAGTGCTTGCCTAGCATGTGCAGAGCCAAGGGTTTAATCCACAGCAGCACAAAACTAAACAAAACAACAAAAAACAAGTATACTGATATGACATCAAAAAGATGTCTTTCATATTCAAAAAAAAAAGAGTAGTAAAGGAGAGCCTTGAATCTTTTAAAAATGGCATAAAGACCAAAAGTTCAGTAAACTATGCTGAATTAAAGGAGACTAAAGAAAACAAATAATTCTTCTTTTGGTACCAGGGATTAAACCCAGGGGCACTAAGCCACTGAGCCCCATCCCCAGCCTTTTTTATATTTTATATAGAGACAAGGTCTCACTAAGTTGCTTAGGGCTTTGCTAAATTGCTGAGGCTGGCTTTGAACTCTCAATCCTCCTGCCTCAGCCTCCCATGTTCTGGGTAAACAGGAGTACACCACCAATATATAATTCTTATTGGAATCCTGGGTTTTAGCCAGCCACAGTGACACATGCCTGTAATCCCAGCAACCTGGAGGCTGATGTATCCCAAGTTCCAGGCCAGTCTCAGCAACTTAGGAAACCCTGTCTCAAAATAAATAATTAAAGATAGCATGGTGGCACACGACTATAATCACAGTGGCTTGGGAGGCTGAGGCGGGAGGATCAAGAGTTCAAAGCCAGCTTCAGCAAAAGCAAAGTACAAAGCAACTCAGTGAGACCCTGTCTTTAAATAAAATTCAAAATAGGGCTGGGGATGTGGCTCAGTGGTTGAGTGCCCTTGGGTTCCATCCCCACCACTCCTCCACTCCACAAAAAAATTTGCTAATGTTGGAGCAACCCTAGATTCAATCCCCAGTATGGGAAAGGGGTAGGGGGAGGGAAAGAAAGAAAAGAATTCTGGATTGTTAAAAAAAAAAAAAAAAAGTTTGGGTATGGATCATACGTTAGACAATAGTATTATGCCAATGATACATTTCCTGAGAGTAATAATATTGGTGTTGTGGTAATGTGTATGTTGTGTGTGTGTGTGTGTGTGTATGTTATTATTAGAAGACACATGCTGCCATATTTAGGGGTAATTAATGTGCTGAGATTCCTGCAACTTACTCTCTACCAGCTCAGAGGAAAACATATAAAGAAAAAAAAGCAAAGAAAATGTGGCAAATTATTGACAATTCTAGAATATATATTATATATTGAATATATAATTCAAATATATATTGAATATATAATTCAAATATATAATTCAAATATTCAATGAATTAGTTTTGTAATTTGTCTTTAGGTTTGATGTTTTCAAAAGTAAAATGTTTTTCAAAATAAAATCACACATAACTTGCCAATAAGCAAGTTGTAATACCGGTTGAGAAAACAAAAATGTGTAATGTACTGAGTTTTCAGCCATGCTCAACCCTTGCCGTCCTCCTCTCCCTCTAGAATCCCAACAAAAGGAGAATGTATGAAACTTAATCGAGACTAATTATTAATCAGTTCTGCAAATAAGATTCCTGGTTCTTTGGAGGTTAGTGCTTTTCTTGTAATCAGAACCACAAGAGTTCTCTACTGCCAGTTTGGACAGAAGCAGTTACATTGTGGTATCTATTAGGTAACACTGAGAGAAAAAAAATGGGAACCTCTAAATGCAAATTAAGCTTGCTGTGAAAAATAAATAAAATATAAAAAACTATAGACATTAGCTCACCCAGAGGAATTTCTTTTCCTCAACTGAGGTGGGAGCATAATGTCTTAAGTGGACAAGCAAGGAGAGGATAAATTGATAGATACAGTAATTTGCCTCCTACATCTCAGGCAGATATGGTAGAGAATAGACTGACTTGGGTTGTCTGTCTCCAAAAAGAGAGTTACTGGTCATTGTGCATGCTTTATCAAAATATTATCTTCTCCAACAATCTGAATATGAAAAACTTAAAAGGAACCTTTTCCAAAAGGAGAGAATTTTTGTTAATGAGGAAGCATTCTACCATTACATTAAGTTTAAAATTATAATCAATGGTTCTGGCAAGTGTGAAAAGAAATGGTACACCCCTACATTGCTGATGTCAGGGTACACTGTTACACCATTTTTGGTAAACCATTTGGCAAGAAGTTTCAAGAGTTACAAAAATGTTCTTATCCTTTGTCTATTTCTCAGAATATATTTTGAGGAACAAAGAAGAAAGCAATACAGGTCCCCCCTTATATCTTATATCAAGGAAGAAGAAGACAAGCTATATATAGCACAATGATCATTGCAGAATACATATGGTAACAAACAAAGGGAGCAAGAGAAAGAACATGCTCAACAATGAGGAATGTTTATATAACACATTTCAATGTTAAGTACATGTAATATTTTCAAATTTTAGGATTGTGCAGGGAGAAGGAAAAGTGCTCACACAATGCTCTGTGAAGTGCAGAATATTAAATATGACATCAACATTATGATTCAACTCTGTAAAAGGTAAGTACAAGAACTTTGAACAGGATGGTTTATCTTTTGAGTGAGGTTTATCCTATTTTAAGCCTCCCTTGCTGTTGTTACAATTGTAGATATTTTAATTACTTGCTCTGTAAATAGGATAGTCTGGAATGCAACAAAATCTACTAAGCTGAATACATCTTTTGGAGAGTCAATAAGTATGAATTCTGTCTTCACCTCTGCTTCAGACTATCCATATCAAATTATGTAAATTTGCATTACTCTTCAGTCTTCTCTGCTATATGACCATTCTTGTTATATATAGCTTGTTCTCTTGCTCACATTTTCTCCCTTCTAAAAAATTCTTTTCTGGACACAAAAAAATGATATCTACAAGATTAGAAAAACGTTATGCCAATTGGATAAAGGAAGTTATTGTAGATTGCACCTTTACAGTGCTGTTGTGGAACTGGAGACACTTCTATTTGTGGTTTTGAGGAAGTTCAGTTCAGAAGGGCCACACAGAGTACCAGGAGTCAGAACAGGGGTTCTATGGTTAGGTAAATTGGGGTTTGAATCCCCTTTGTGCTTTCTAGTTGAATGTCCTTGGACAAATATCTTTATATTTCTCTGTAGCTCCATTTCCCCCATCTGTAAAGTGGGTTCAAAAATCATCTACTTTTTAGGGGTATCATCATCCCTACTTTATAGAGATATCTAGTTTCATTTAGTCTACCACTTTTATGCAAGCAGTTGGATCTGGGAGTGATCAAATTAAGGTACATCTTTTAATATTATAGGACTTGTTTCTCTATTTAGACTTATTTCCATATTGGCCCAAATATTCAATGGGTAATATTCCTTGAAGATACCTTTAGTAGGCCTGGGGTTGTGACTCAGGGGATAGAGCAGTTGGCTAGCATGTGTAAGACCCTAGGTTTAATAACCAGTACCCACACACACCTCCTGCCCCCCCCAAAAAAAACCCACCTTCAGTGTCCTACTTCTGTTGCCATATAAGATATTATATAATAATGTTACAGTATAGGAGATTTTTTTAGGAATACCATGAAAATTTACATCCCGATATGTTACTTTGTGCGCCCCATAGAATATATAGGGTTGAACTGGGCACCATGGTGCATACCTATAATCCCAACAACTTGGGAGGCTGAGATAGGTGTATCGCAATTTTGAAGCCAGCCTCAGCAATTTAGCAAGATCCTGTCTTAAATCAAAAATATAAAAAGGGCTGGGGATGTATTTCAGTGGGAAAGCACCGAAGGATTCAATCCCCAGTATTGGAAGAAAGAGAAGGAAGAGGAGGAGGAAGAGGAGGGGGAGTCAGCATAGGGCTAAAGGGAGGCTGAAGATTCAATTTTGGTCCTTCAGAAACCAAACCAGAAAAGAAGTGACTTCTGTAATGCTTCTTGCATATTCCCAACATAGAGTTTGACTACCCCCAGAAGATTTGCAATCTACACTTCCTTGTTTCTAAAGAGAAGTCAATTGTGGAGTCATAGAAATATGATCAAAACGTCTTAGAGGAATTGATCTAATAATATTCTAATCCATCCATAATTGGGAAAGTAAGAATGGGCCAAGTGAAACTCTTTGGAATAAACAGAAAGAATCTGGTGCAAGGAAAGATTAGTAGAGAGCTCACGTTCTGGTTTTACTCTCACCAAGCAAGCTGACCAATTGTATTGAACAAGGCTGTAGTCAGGCCAGTGTGGAAGCCGTTGGCACCATCTTGCTCTCAAGTATCTTAAAGTTCACATGATGAAAAAAGAGATGAGCAAGTAAGTAAATAAGAGTGACCTGGTAAATGCATACAAAATAGGGTCTTACTGATGCACGATGGTGAATAAGCTTTAAATCTTAAAAGCTTTATTCCAGCAAGCTGTATACTTTGAGTTCTCATTAGTTCTACCAATAACATGGGTCTTGAACTTTCAACACTTCATTAACTGAAAGAAGAGACTGCAGCAATCACTATTGCAATCGCATGACTGCTATTTTTCCACCTACTATTTAGCCACCTACTGATCGCTACAAAGCTGCATTTCCTAGAGATGTGTTGAGAGAAGTTCAAGGCACCACAGAACTCCCCCTGTGGCTGTCAGGAGTGCAATTAGACATTTGATGTAGCTTCCAGGTTAATTATAAAGTAAGCATCTCATTGGATTAATAAATGCTGGGGTTGTTGCCCTTGCAAAGAGGGATGGCAGTACAGAATCATTCAGCCCACTCTTTCTGGTTGGCACTCAGCAGTGCTAGTTATCTGGCAGATCAGCCTGACATGGGTTATGTTATAAAAGGCC